CCTCTGCACTGGTGCCAGGTATGCCAACATGTTTCCCAGTACACCTTTGCACTTCACCTCCATTCAACAGGATGTTTATTTTGTTGACTTGGGTCCTGTCCCCAAAACAACTGTTCAAATCTGCAAATCTTACAGAGTCCGCCAAGGTATACTACATGCAGTGTCTGCAGTTGCTGAGGTACCTGGTCATGCTTCACCATCCTAAGTTCCCCTGAATGCTGTGCGAAAAGCTCTGACAGCCCACACATTATTACCACATGCCTTCACGGACATCTGGCTGTTGGTCACACAAGGACCCAAAAGGAAAATCCCACATTAAAAAACCAAGTCAGTGGGCCCGGGATTTACCTCAGTGGTTTTGCTGCCTGCTGCACAAGCACAAGGACCTGAGTTCAATCCCCAGTTCAAAAAAAAACAACCAAGTCAGACTGAACAAAGACTATGAAACTGAGGTGTAGGGACTTAGTACCGTTCTAGGGAATACAGTGGTTAGCGGGAAATATGCAACCAGAGAGATCTAAAAGACTGAGTAAAACTGGGGAGAAAATCCTGACAGTCCAAAAACCCTCCCTGCCACACACCAACTTCTGTGGGATTTGCTCCGGGCAGCCCTCAGCTGCCCTTCTGAGCCCTGTCTCCTCCTGCCAGCCCCTCCTGGTCCTGCCACCACCTGCAAGGCTAAGGTCTCCAGGTTGCCGCTCCTAAGCCCTCTGGCTAGTGTCACCAATGCCCCAGAGCACCTACCCTGTGCCAATGGGCAAACACAAGGTGTGTGGTGCGGACCACCACACAACCACACCCAAAAGGAGGCCCCAAAAAGAAAGAACAAGCACAAAGGACACTGTGTCTGCAGGTGGAATGGCAGGGCCAGGTCACCGCCACCTGTGACCCCAAGCTCACCTCCCACTGTGATAAACACACAGCGGTCCACAGAGGGCTGGACAGACATCACTGCTCCAGTGACAGAACGCCTTCCGAATCTTTGCCAAAATACTTTACAGAACATAAATACTTTCTTTACCTACAAATGTCTAATCCTCTCTATCGTCTTTGTTTTCAAGAATAACAAGTAGTGTCTGTAACAGTAACAAATAGAGTGACAAATAGTAACAAGTAAGGCTGAGAAGGAGCCAGGAGGCCTGCAGCAGCTGAGGCCCAGGACCAGAGCAGGAGGGCAGCAGCAATGCTGAACACTCACTGGCCGGAGCAAAGATCCACAATGACACAAATAGGCCTCACCTGTAAGTCCTGGGCCGTGTGGCGAGGTCTGCTGCCCGGGGAAAGTATGTTGAGCAACAGGAGAAGGTCACTTTAGATGGTCATACCTACACGCATTTCAGAAGTGACCTCATATTTTTACTCTGATTTTAATCCAAATATCTCTGAAGAGAGATTTAGAGAAAACTTCTGAGTGTGCAACATTATCCAAGTGCACTTGCCCTCAAAGCATTAGTTGGTTGCTAGACTGTTTGTAGTGCTACTCAGACCCCTTTTCTGCCCTGTTCTCTCCTGACCTCTGGCCCTTCATGCTCAGGTGGTGTTAAAAAGCCTCAACCGAGTGCCTGGGATTTAGCTCAGTGGTTCCACCTCCTGCCTCACAAGCGGAAGGTCCTGAGTTCAATCCCCGGTACCAAAAAAAAAAAAAAGCTTCAACCAAGGCATCTGCCCTCCTCTTCCCCTGACTTCCACCCCAGCTTGGCCCCCCTTCCTGAAAGTAGGAGCCCGGCTTCTGCACAAGGCGTCAGGGAGGCCCAGGTAGCCCCGAGCAAGGCGGTGGTCAGGACCACGGGAACAAGGGCAGGACCCCTCCCTAACCCTAGCGTGGACTCGAACTGCACACCTCCAGACAAGCCACCAGGGCACAGCTCAGCACGCACGAGGCCTGGGTGCCCTCCCCACAGGAAACCCCAGCACCCCCAAAAACCAAGTTGGAAAGCAGGACTGCACTACATTAAATGAAAATAAATGCAAAAATACTCCGACATGTAAGGTGTTCAACAAGGATCAGATGTTATAATTATCAAAGATTTATAAGATCATGAAAGATTTTTGCCATTTATCATGTATTATGCATATAATCAGATGCTATCAAGGAGTCAGAGGTAGTTTTCCAGATATTTAGACCGCTCAGCGCCATGGACATAGGCATCAGTAAGCAGATGTTCACTCTGGATGGTAAACAACATGTTCTGTTATGGCTCTGTGCTCCTCCTAGAACAAAAACACTGGAGAAGCACACAGCCTGGGAGACGACGAGGCACCCTGCCCTCACTCCTCACTTCTCGTGGAAAAAGCAAAGCAGCCATCAGCTGGCTCACAAAGGCAGTCGTTTCTCACACCCATCGGTGGTGGAAAGCCAGGGCTGCCTGTGCCTCTGCAGGAAAACTTCACACCCTTGTGAGAGAAAGGGGCGTGAAGGAAAGAGCCTCCTCAAAGGCTTGGCTTTGAAGCTGCCCTGCCCAGATGTAAAAATAGACGGCTAAAATGTGAAATCGATCCTAATGGCAGGCAGCTCGCTGCACTCCCCATGCCCAGGAGGTGAGGGAAACCTGAATATTTGATTTAGTAGCAGCTTGGGAGCGAGCAGACCTGAAACCCTCCGATAACCTTGAAAACAGCCACTTCCCGCGGAAGAATGCAGGTGGTATCTTCCCCACCGGGTTCCTGCTGCCCATCAGAAACTGCTCTGTTCCAGAGCAGCCAGCACACATCCCGAGAGGTGGCTGCGGGCCAGGCCTCTCCCTACTCCCACAGGAGAGCCCACCGTGGCTGCTCCAACAACAGGCCTGCCAGGGAGTGGCTGGGTGGGGACAGCTCTGCCCCCAGCCCAACAGGACAATCACACGCTCCTGACTTCCCACTCACGCAGTGTGTTCGCCTAGTCACTGTGACAAAATCCCCAACAAAAACACCTCAGAAGAGGAGACACTGGCTTCAGCTCGTGGTCCCAGCATTTCAGTCGGAGGTGGTGCTTCTGGGCAGGACACCGTGGGGAAGGGCGGGGGCGCAGCTGCCCACATCACTGCAGCCAGGAAACAGGAGAGAGCCAGAGATGAGGGCCCAGGGACAGGACACAGGCCCAGGGTCACAGCCCAGGGCCCTCCCTCCCGCCACCCTTCCCAGTCTCCATGACCTCCGGAAGGCCTGTGAGCCCACCTGTGGATCCGTCCACTGGTGAAGGTGGGGCCCAGTCACCTTCCACCAGGCCAAGCAGAACTCGGGAGACTGGGGGACACAGCACATGACACCCCACACACACACTCGAACTGCACATGCCACACACACACACCTATACACACACAGCTCCAGACACTCATACACACTCGTAACAGACACTCACACATCTCACACACTCGTGTCACACACACACACTCACAGCTCCTCACACATGCTCCCTCACAGGCAGGTCAGCCTCCAGATGCTCCTGGAAGTGCAAAGGAGTGAGGGGACCCCAGTGTCTTCTGTGCCCAGGACACAGCAGGGAGGTGGGATTCGGCTCTCCAGCCTGAGCCCCTGGAAGCCGAGCTCCTGCCGCACAGCCAGGCCCCAGCCGTCCTCAGCCTGCCCTGGCTCAGGCCTCAGGCTGTGAACACTGGCCAGAGGCATCACAGGAGACCGGAGTGTGGGGGGGGGGGTAATGGGGAACCCCAGACTGGTCCAACCCAGCAGTGGGGGGCTACCTGGGGGGAAGCACAACCCTCCTTCCAAAGCCCTGAGGCCTGGAAGCCCATGCCAAACGCCAAGGCTGCAGCCCTGGGGAGATGGTGGTGGGTCAAGGTCAGGCACCCTGTGCTCACTGCAGAGTGGATGAGCTGGCTGCAGGCGACCTCTGCCCAGCCCTGTGCAGAGGGAGGTGGGGGGCAGGGGCGAGGGACCCAGTACCTCCCAGTTCCCCTCCCAGCCCGTCCGACCCCCACACCCAGCCCCCACCAGAAGCTCAGCTAACCCTGCCTGGCCAAGCTTCCCGTCAAGAACAGAAAGCTGAGGTGCCAGCGCTCCCATGTGGGGCCAAGCCGCGCTGTGTCACCACCCGTGTGCGTGTGCGGCGCACTAAGGCTGCCCGCGGGCACACACGGCTCTGTGGAGCCGCGCTCTCCTGCACCCCACCCGGCGGTCACAGAGGACAAGGGTCCAGTGACAGGGTCCCCCAGACGCCCGGGCTGGGGGCCGCCGGGAACCACACGCGGGAGCCGGGCGGACTCCCGCGCGGTTAGCATGGACTGCAGAAGGCACGCACGGGTGCAAGGCGCAGCGCGGTGCGGCCCAGCCTCGGCCTCTGGCGGACGCGAGAGGGGGCCTGGGCCAGGGCGCACTTCCACCTGGTGCAGTGGGGACGGCGCTGCGCGTCCTCCCGGCGGGTCCAAAGCACCCAACACAGCGGGGACGCCAGAAGCCCCGCGGCCTGGGCGCCCCGCAGAAGTGGTGGCTGCCGCGGCCGCCCGCGAAGTCCCAACCCTGCCGCTCTGCTCTGCGCCTGTGGAGAGCGCGGGCGGCAGGCGGGCGGGACTCGGCACCCAGCGCTTCCCAGCGGGCTTCGGCGGAGAGGGAGGGAGGAGGAAGCTCCCAGACCCTCGCTGCGCCGCCTGGCCGGGATCCAGGGCGGGGAGGCGCACCCCACCCCGGGTGCCACCGAAGCCCCACGCTCTGAGCGCCCCGGACGCCGGGGAAGACAAGGTCCCCACCAGGATCCTGTGCTGTCCCTCGGGTGATCCACACCGCCTTCCAACCTCACTGGCCACGTACGCACAATCAGCCCTGCACTAGAGAGAACCCACGCGAAGTTCGGCCCAAAGCCTCCGGAGCCCGCGAGCCGGCCCGGGAGCACGATCCCAACCCCGACTCCGTGCGCCCGGGCGGGCGGGAAGCCCAGCCGGGCTGGGGCCCCGGCTCCGCGGGCGCCGCGTCTAAGTCCCCTCGAGGGCCCCCTTGAGGTCGCCAGGAAGCCCCTGCCCAGACGCCCCTGGCCATCCCGGAAACCTGGGTGAGTGTCCCGGACTCACCGACTGCCAGGCAGACGGGCAGCAGCAGCCTGAAGACGAGTCCGCACACCACCTCCGAGGCCATCGCGCCGGCGGCGAGGCCGAGTCCCGCCGAGCAGCTGCGGTCCTTAGCGCCCGGACGCCGGGCCCTCGCCTGCCCTGGGCCTCCCGCCGCCGCCCGCCCGCAGCCGCCCAGGCATCGCCCCCGGCCTGGGCAGCCGCGGGCCCGGCCGACCTGCGCGTCCGAGCGGCGTGGGCCCGAGTGAGGCTACCCTCGCAGGCTCGGGTCGTCGCTCAGGACCTCCGGGCCGGGCCCTCCGAGCCCACGCGTCCGCCTCACGCACCGCCGGCGGCTCAGCCCGCGCGCGCCCCGGCTCCGGGCCGCAGGGCGCCGAGCATCCCCGACCGACCCGCGGGGCGTGAGCTCCGCGTCCTGGGGCTGCAGCCCCGCCCTCCAGGCGGATCGCGGGCGGGCGGGCGGGGCGGGGTGGGGCGGGGCCGGACGCCGCCAACAAGCGCCCGGTGCCCAGAGCGCCCTCCGCAAGGCCGGCAGGGGCAGCGCGCGCTTCTCCACGTCGGGGACCTTGCAGCGCGCCGGACGGGCGTGTCTGGGGCCCAGGGCGTCGGCCCCCGCGCTGCCCGCCCGCCCCGCCCCGCCCAGCTCCGCCCCGGGCTGGCGCAGCGCACACCCAGAGGCGGCCAGGTGGGCTGCGCCCTAGCCCGCGACGTCGTCCCGTCCAGGCCCGCCCAAGCCAGGAATCAGTGATGGCTTGGCCAGCCCGGAGTAACCGAGCTAGAACCGGGCTGTCACTCCGGCTAGGTCCACAGATAGCCACCCTGGCGTTGATGAAGCACAACAGAGCCGCAGTTCACCCAGGTCCTGTGGTCCCGACTGCTGGGCACTGGATGATCCTAGCCTTTTCCAGAACTGCACAGACGCGCAGGTGCGCGTCCACCTGGTACGCTTCAGGAACTCTCCTAGCGCCTCGGGTTTGTTTCCTGCTTGTGGTTCCGGAGAGAGAACGCTGGTGCAGAAGTGTTCTAAGAACCTGCCTTTCGAGCATTTTCTAGACGAGGTCTAGAGAAGTCTGGTTTAGCTGGGGGAGTCCAGAGTGCCCGAGTCTCTGGTTTCAGGACTGTGGGGACAGGGACCGGGCATTGGACCAGGGTGGGCTCACCCTGGGCCAGGAGGCAGACGGGCTCTGGATCTGCAGGGAGGATTGTGCCCGCCTCTGTGCTCTGGGCTTTGTAGAGGGAGCAGATGAACAACCAGCAAGGACAACCAAGCGAACCTCTGTTCCGGGCCAGCACTCGCTTGAGCGTGTGACCTGTCCTTTAGGGACATTGCCGCTCAGGGTACAGTGAGCTTGGTGCTAGAGTTCGGTGCCTTCACAAATTCCCCAAGAAGTGCAGAGAAAGTTGCACAAAGACTCATTGTTTTTCATTTTGTTTGGTTTTGTTTTTTGGTTTGTGGTGTTTTTTCATGAAAGACCCAGGACGGTTAACATCCTAGGAAGACGCCTTGAAACTTAGACAGCCTCTGTGTGCGGCCACCCACAAGTTTGGAAAGTGTCTACCCCCAGGCGACATGGGGAGCCCAGAGACAGTGGGGACGGAGCCCAGAGCTTTGGTTAGCAGCGCATTTGACTCTGGCTCCCTCTGGTCCTTTCTGTGGTCTTGCTGTGCCTTCCCTATTAACAACCACCTAGAGTTCATCGAAATCGCCTGTTGGACGTCTGGTGAGGAGACACAGCCACCCAGTGGGCAGTGACTCCACCAATGGCACCTGTGCTTGCTGTGCCACACAGGTGCCAATGTGGCTGTTCAGCTCCTGGAGATCTCAGCGCCTCGTCCCTGTTTGGAGCTGGACACATCTACCTGGAGGGGAAGCTCCAGCGGTAGACGATGTCCAACACCAGGCTCTCAAGCCCAGCCACCTGGCCACTGTCCACACTCCCAGAAATCCTGGCTAAGTGGCCAGGTGTGGCCCTGTGCCCACATCTAGGAATTTTTAAAAGCTCTTGGGTGATTCAGTGTAGACACCACTTTCTCCCCTCTCCAGTCAGAACTCAGAAAACAGCGCACTGGATTTCCATCCAACATCCCAGACCAGGCTTCCCCTCCCAGCCTGGGGCACCATTTTCACAACCGCTGTTTCACCCCAGCCTTCTTGCCTCGAGGACCAGTATGTGGCATATAGATAGGCATGTTTGCAAGGGCTCAGCAGCCCTCTGGGGCTTTGATCCGTGCTCAGGAGCAGTCCTCCATCTGGGCACGGTCGTCCCTGAACTCTAAAAGCGTGCACAGGTGCACAGGTTAGAAAACGGCTTGGTGAGGAATAAAGCACACTCCATGCTCACAGATGTGTGGCTTTGGCATTTGATGAGAGCTTGCTGTGCTTGCGTGAGTGTCCCCAGCATTATTGGAAGTGCTACAGCCTTTAACAGAAGGGTGACTGGCAGACCCCAGATCATGCTGGGCGCGGAGAGCACTGGGAGACCTGCATCTCCTCCTCTTGCTTTTGGCGCTGGGTGTGAAGTGAATGGACCTCTCTGCCCTGTGCAGCCCCTGAGTGTCCTGTGCAATCACTGGCCAAAGCAGTGGGGCCATGGACTGAGAGCCAGAATAAACCTTTCCTCTTTTTGAGTTGGTTTATCTCGTATTTGTTACAGTACCAGAAAGCTGGCACACAGCATCTAAAGCACAGGATGGCAGCTTCCCACCGGGAATGAAGAAGGTACCAGCTGCCCTCCCTGTGCAACAATGACTTGTTTTGATAAATACTGGAAATGTTAATACCCCAGTTTCTTCACTGGGAACTTGAAGAAAGTGATCAAACCCATAATACAGAGACCACACAGACAGACAGCAGCAATCCACATGGTGCTTGGAGTATGCCAAAGGCATGGGTATTGGCTGGTATTGTTACTCTTACTGTGTCACCGCTGTTGTTGGAAAACAGGGTTTGGTCCAGAATCCGTGAAACAGTGTCACTCGGGCTCCTGAAATATGTTTACAATGACAGACACTCTCCTGTTTGGTTTGGGCTATAGAGGACGTGTTACGTGTCCTGTATGGGGTCACCTTGTTTGTCCTCCACCCTTCCTGAACTTAGTTTAATGCTCCCCTGGTGGACAGAACCATTCGGAATCGGCATCTTTGCCCCAAAGGCTAAGCTCCCCGCCAGGCGAGGTGGGCTCTGTGGCTCCAGTCACCTTCCCCGCCTCACGCCCTCACTCACCTAGTTCAGTTATCCTGTGCTGGCTGCTTTAGGAAGAGCTCAGGGTAGAGAGACTCTTTCAGAAGGCTGTGTCCCGCAGGGATCAGAGAGGTCATCCATGCATCGTTTCCCCCAGTGCAGTCGGCTGGGGTCTGTGGGTGCCCTCACCCACTTAGAGAGTGCGTCTGCTAGCACGGCAACACGTTTCCTTTACTGTGTGCTAAGCAAACATCTAAATACATACGTTTCTATATTTGCACTTGCAATTATCATAACATTATCACAATACTTATTTAGGTAATTTCTTTAGGGCCCACAGAGTCTTTGACTTTTAAACTTAAGCAAACTTGGACGGTGAATGGAAGCCTTTATTCTGTTTGCTAATAATATCCTCCCTCCACATCTGTGGGTTAAACTCAAAGCCCTGACTCTACTGAATATATACAGGTTTTTTCTTGTTATTTTTCCCTCAACAATCCAACATAACAACTGCTCATGCACATTTGCGTCATGTGAGGCATTGTACATCATCTAGAGAGGGCAGAGACAAGGGGGGTGTACGTGCCTGGGCTCCGTGCAAATCCTGCACCATTTCCTGCACTGGGCCTGGGCACCAGCTGCCCCAAGTATTCATGGGGTGGCCTGGAATGATCCCCCAGTGAGGCCCAGGGATGACTATATTCTGTAGTCACAAAATTTTTCTAAACGACCTTAGGTTTACAGCAGTAGTATTTCATAGGAAGTGTAGTCTTGTTATTCTTCTGCCAAGCAGGTTATCCTCATGAGCTCTGACCACAGGAATAGACAGTGAAATGCACTGCTCCTCACATCTGGGTCTTCAACATGGTTGTCCTGCTGGGGCACTGTACAGTTTATACCGTGGTGAGGCAGCTGCTTTTGTGTCTGCAGTTAAAGAACTTTGTAAAACCAGCTGACTGGTAAGTGTTTGTGCCTTATCTTTCCAACTAGATTGTAGGCTTTGAGGACACAGACACAGTTTCATCTATAAAGCAGACTACAAAGCAAAATACTGTTTCCAAATGATGATAGCATCCATTGATATGCTTCCATAACACACACAGGCCCGTAACTGGATGAGGAAGAAATAGAGGAACGTGTCGATTTGTATTTGATTGTTATGAGATGCATGCATCTTGAACTCATGGGAAGGTGCTCTGTGAAGCCCGTGAGCTGCCTTGGGCACCACAGGCACCCAGGTGGCCGATACTAAAACACGGAAACCACCATTTATTATTTACAGCCACCGCCAGGAGCAGAGTTTGATCTGGGGGTTGGGGGTTGTCTGGCTGAGCTGAGTTTGCTCATGAAGCCTTCGACGAGGCTGCTGGTTTTAACATCACCTCGTCCAGAAAGGGTCATCCAACTCGAGGAAGGTTTTTGCAGTAGGAAACTAGAATTTGGGGGCTAATATAGCAGGAAATGTAGTCACTCAAAGCAAGTTACTAAACCAAAAATATTCCAAGCTTTTTCTATACCTATAACCACACAGGCAAGAAAATCTCCTTGTCCAATTAGACATTCATCCGTCAACACATATTTGTTCTGGACCAGGCTGCAGTCATGACACCATCCGGACCTCTTCAATGGTCACAGAAATGTTAGTATTTATTAGGAGCGGGCGATTTGGGTTAGTTAGGCTTCCTAAGAGATTTCAGGCGTGTGCAAACGTGTGTACTTGACGTCGATGCGTGTGAGCGAGGCTGGGGGGAGCGGTTACTGCTGAGCCTGCGACTAGGAGATGGGATTCTGACTGCAGAGTCCGCCGGGTCACTCACTTTCCTGCACTGCCACCTTTTGGCTAAAAAGTATTTAAAACGCAAGAAGGGAGCCGGAGGCACAAGCCTCACACATCCGGGCAGCCGCAGGCTTGTGACAGGTTCATTGGGAGACCCCAAGGCCGGCAGAGC